AATACGTAAATGTTTAAAATATTTGCAATTAATAAGTTTACTATTAAATATATTAGTAAGCTGATATACGCAAAAGAAAATATTAAAATCAGTCGATGCAATTACGGTATATCATAATTTAAAATGTTTTCATTTTACCAAAAATTATTGTATTTTACACGAAAACCACTGACTGAGAAAGTCCTTAAAATTTAGTTTTTCAGTAGAAGGTAGAATAAAAAAGACATATCAAGCCAGAGAAATTTGGAACGTAGACATCATTTTGTCCAGTTTAAAATTTGAAAATACATTTTTTATTATTTAGGATCTATTTCACTTATTAGACTTCAAAAATTGTGGCTTATCGTGTTCTTAACTCAAAAACCTTAGCTTCGGTTAGTTTTTGTTAAAGCCGCTCTTCAAGTTCATTGTTCGTATCGCCCAATTTTTCGGAAAAAAATTGAGTTGGAAATGCAGAAAATGTATCTTTGGAGATATTCTAACTCCAATCGTCTTTCGCCAACTATCCAGTAAATTGTTATTTATTTCTTTAAAATTGGGTGATTTCTGTTTTTGTATGCAGTAACTAGTGTTCAGGAGTCGAGATATTTCCATTCTTGTAACCTTGATGAAAGTTACTCAGCTGTTCTGTTTACATCCCAAGTCAAATCGCTTAGTTCATTTTACGAAATTAAATGCTTCGCCTCCATGGCGATGATGAAGTTGAAGTTTTTAGGATATCTGCATTTATATGTTGATATTATTGAAAGGGTCATTACGGTATCTAATTTGCGTAACTTTTTTTTCATTTATACCTGTAACATTAATCAAGCAAAGCTTGCACTCTTCTAGCGCTGGCAAAGAAAAAGAAAAGTTCAGTACATGGCTACAAACTTAAAAATTTTAGTTAAAATTCACAAATTCATATTATACTTTTGATATACTTTCGCTTGTAGAAGTTACTGTGGAAGGTCTCCCAGTAGTGCTCTATTTTCCTCTGTTTTCTTTTTCAAAAAATAGTGTTTCATCTGGCTTTTTACTCAAATCTCCTAACTTTCCTGCAAAGTAATCGAGGTATAAGAAAGATTACTTGTTTACTCATTGCTTGTCAGGGTCTTTGTTATTGCCCAAATATTTATCCATGACTACTTCAAAGACACACTATCCTATTCCTCAATGTCACGACTGTCCGGAATTGGGGATCAACCATGAGCCTAGCAGATTTTCTCCTTCGCCTCTGAATGGTCTGGAGCTATTTTTATAAAGTATTTTTAGCAATATTTTTATTTTTGCAAATGACTCTACAAACCGCTTTATTAATCCCATTATTATGTGAAGTATTAATGGAAAACTTTTATGAGTAAGTAAAATAGTTACATATTGAACTTTTTTCGCCGCTGAATTCCCTTACTATCCAACACTTTTTGGTTCAATCTCTACTTTCCGTAGACATAACAACTAAGTAAATTTGGTTTATCAACAATATATTTTTTTCCGAGCGACATACCCAAGATTTTGGAATCATGACATTCTAGTCAATTATATTATATATGGATGACCAACAGCAATGCAAGCATATAAACCGACACATTACAATGCAGAACTGCTTTAAGGCGTCCATTTGAATAATCAATTACAATGCGTCATTGCGCCACTATTAAAACTATTCATTATATCTTGAATATTGATAAGATAAATCAAATCGTACTGTTGGGCAGAGTAGGAACTGCTTTCACTGGCACTGGTATGTTGCTCAAAAGCAGCAGCTTCATCCACGTAACTCAGCTGTGTTTTTGGAAAGATTTACTATAAGTCGCTTATTAAAGCTTATTTTTTTGTTGCTTTAGTATCATGTAAATTGGAATAATAAAACACTCTTATTTCTTATTCAATGTATATTTGATGTGTATTTATTAAAATTCAAATAGCAACTGTCCTTTTGGTCTTCTATCTAGTACGCGTCTCCTTCGTTCCTTTTCTTAGCATTGCCTATTTTCAGTCTGTATTAGCTACAAATATAATATTAATTGTCAGACGAATTGACACGCCTCGGCACAATCTTGAATCCTGAATAATCTGAATCTATGAAATGACGAGCTAACACTTAATTGTACTGCATCACTCTTCTTACTATCGGAGATTGTAGGTTCAATTTACAGCATGCTTTGAGCAATTATGAGGATTAATTTTCATACTTCCTATGAAAGATTAAATATTTTGATGTTAAATTATGCACTTTTTCCAAATATCGGAGATATATTTGTCTTTTTTTGCTTATTTTTGTTCAGAAAGCACTTATACATTTACTATATTTTGAATATATCAAGAAATTTTCTGTTTTATCTTTCTATTCATTCACAATAATTCCCAATTATATACAGATCATTTGAAGTTTACTTTCCATTTAAAAATGTTTTTAAATTTGTTGAGAATTAAAAACACACTTGCCTCAGTAAATATTATCATATGCTATTAAAAATGTTTTATCTATTAATTAAACAATCTAAATAATAATTCATTAAAGCTGGGTTTTATTAAATTTTGTATTTTTTATATCAATAATCAAATTCCTATTAAAAATTTCTTTCGATGTCAATTGGTTTAACTCAGTTTTAGTGAATATCTATGTTTACACACAAATATACAAATTATACAAATATTTATTGTGTATTTGCATATTATTGTTTGCCTATGGATATATCATCCAGTATTATTCAATAAATAAATTCGGCAGATAAGAGATAAAATAATAATATTTTGCCACAATTTCACTTATTTAGTTGCAGTTTTTTGTTTAATTATTAAATGATGCGCATGAAAACTATAATACCGAATATTTGTGTGTTTGTATTTATGTGTTGTTTACATACATATGTATATTTTGATTTGTATCAGTTGCAATTATTGCAGTTTAACTAATTTACTGAAATCTATGGTAAAGAAATCATAATTTATTCAATTTTTTTTCTGAGATTATAAAAGTTTATACAGTTTAAATTCAGTTAAGAAACATTGCTTTTTTTCTGTTGTGTGAGGTATTAAAAAGTAATATTAACACATATTTATGGCTTACTTACATATTTTGCAACGTTATTTTCCAATTTTTTTTTAATATTTAACTTTAGAGGTTAAATGCACCATTGTGTTCATCGTTTTTATGAAACTTAAATCAAATCATATCATAACTACTTTTTATAATTTAGCTATATCCAGTTTTTGCTTCACAATATTGTAAAAAGATATGTCATTAAATCAATTAAATAAAGTGTAGCTATTGTTCATAATGGACATTGGATTTCAGAACTTTTAAGCTCCTTTGAAGTTAGTTTTTCTTCATATAACTCTCACTTTCTAAATTTTAATTTTTTTAATCTTATAATATAAAATATATATGTGGCCAATTCTTTTGGTATATTTTCAAATTCCCTGTCCTTTTTTTCTCTACAGAATCGACATTGTTTTAAATGCATTTTTTAAGCCTATAGATCAACTTCTGAAACCAGTCTTGCTTTGAAAGCTCATCAAGTTCCTCAATAACCGCATTAATTATCTCCTCCTTGCTTTTAAAGAACTTTCTTTTAAAACGTTTTTTGATTGCTGGGAGTAGGCAGAAAAATTGGGCTGGACGTGTGCCTTTTATCCAAGAGACCGCAAAAAAATCACTCGTTCCTTCAGCAGTATGGGATGGCGCGTTGTCATGATTTAAAAGGTAGCGCCGCTAATTCCCTTTCTTCCATTTTGAAGTTACCGTCTTACCCTAGTAAACTGACATCAATACTTTTGCTGTTGATTTTTGTTTCTTAGATTATACGGGTAAATTTGCTCCTGTTGGGTTCCACCCCGTTCTGGATCATACTCATAGATCCAAGATTCGTCACCAGTAAAGACTTTATTGAAGCTACTAGACTGACCATTTTCGAATTTGTTTAGGAAAAATTGAGCAAATGAACTTGAGTCTCTTTATGGGCTTCATTTTAAATTCGTGCGGATTTGTTCGTGTATCCCAGATACTTGCTCATTATTCGCAATACAGCCATGACATTAAAATTCAGTTCATATGCAATCATATTTCGTGAGAGTCGTGAGTATTCGTCAATTTTGAATTTTACCAGAGCCACAGTGACATCATCAGTGCAATATTTTGGCCGTCCTTCTTCTTTTAGTTTAAGCGAAAATAAATGGAAAGTCCCCAACTGACCGAAATTTTGTTAATCTACTCGTATAACACCACAAAGTGGTATGGTCAAATGTAACCGGCAAGTCAAACCTGTCTTGCTTTAGTTAATAGCCAAGCATATATGAAAATGGATCGTAGCCAATGGCCGAAATGAGTCTGTTTTGACACCAATGACTTTCATATATCGTACAGCCGTACATATGCCGATTGGGTGTCTAAACAACAGTGGACGGCGATTTATTGAACAGATTTTCTTCACGACTGGGCTCATTTCTCTCTCTCTCAAAAGCCCTGCCGTCGGGTGCGCTCTTTGTTCCAGAGATAGTAATCGATTTTACTTTTCTGAAAACGGGAACTTTATATGACGATATATAAAAGAAAGCCCTAAACGAAATACAATACAAGCACATAAGGACTAAGGTAGCCACGTAATTTATAAAATAAACGCCAATATTCATAACCAAAATAATTCTTCAGATCCCTAACTCCCTAACGATCTTCGACTTAGAGTAAACACACCTATGAAAAAGCTCATTCACAAGCTCCTTTGATAAGGAATAAGTTGATGCAATGTCTGTAAGTTACAATTTTCACATAACGATATTTCATACACTGTGTTACCAAACCAAAATACTATAGTTTGCTAATATATATGCGCCTGGAAGTAAAGGATTAACTAAATTAGTTTATGTGTGTTACACTACTTTAGAAATTTGGTTTAAATCAAGTCAAAACTAAATAAATATATTTACATATAAGTATACTGGTACAAATATTCACACTCTAACTCTCTTTTTCATTTTGCTTTACGCTGCCAAATTCATTGGGCACATTTCATTTACAGATTATACACAAAGTTTGCGTTTGGTCGAAGTGCGAATACCAAATTACGTGGTTAAGGGCTCATCAGCACAGTTGGAATGCCTGTACGATTTGGATGGTGAATCGTTGTACTCAGTGAAGTGGTACAAGGACGGCAACGAGTTCTATCGATACGTGCCACGAGACATGCCACCAGCACAGACATTTCTGCTGCCAGGTGTTTTAGTGGAGGTGAGTGGATATTTTTTGATACTATGCATAACACATGTACAGCATTACCAGTGATTTTTTTCCAACCCAGCAATGCAACAACAAACTACTCTGAACTAACAGTAATTTAAAAATGAAGCTATATGACTAAGATTGCATTATTTCAAATAATATGGAAGCCTGGTACCATAACGTACTTCCAAATTTCATTTCATTTTATATTATGTGATACATTTTTTTATGCCTCTTTCTCTTCTTCTTAATTGGGACAGACACAGCTTACACGATTAAAGCTGAACGAATAATAACCATTCGTTCTTTCTCTTTCCTGTTTGGCTCTAGTTGGGAATACCAAGTGAAGCCAGCGTTCTCCACTTGATACTTCGTCTGAAACTATCCAGCACCTGAAACCTGCAGGGCTTCTGTTGATGACCAGCGTGAGTTGCCACGTTAGACTGTCTTCTGCAAAGAGGCTGATGCATGCACCTTATCTGCTTAAATATTTTTTCCAGTTCTGGACATGGGTCTCCATATTACTGATTTCTACATGATATTTTTCTCTGGCCTAGCAGAGCCTTTCCGTAGATTTATCGAGCATTAGCCTTAACGGCCAGCTTCTCAAGCTTTTCATACTCACGTTTTTCGGCCTCATTCTTTTTTGCCCGCAGATGCGTGAGCTCTTGGTTTCTCCCACCCCGCACATGTTGCGGTCGATCGCGGGGTTACGAGGTAGGCAGTCAGTTTTCTGTATACTGCAGTACGACATTCCTCATCGTACCAGTCCCTTTCCCGACACTGCAGAACCAACTGCTTCCGTAGATGTGGTACTTAGGGAGTGTGAAATTCACAGTTTACTCTATACCGAATTGCTGATGAGTGCTATTTGTTGTGATTGCTGATTATCAACGTCGAGCTTACTCTGCTTTTTGTTGAGGGATATTGTTTGATACACAGAGGCGATTACCTACGTGCGCTGTTCCGGGTAAGTTCTAGGCTCCCGGAGTATACGAACGTCAAGAATACTGTAGACATGTCTTCCGTCTATAAAAAAATGTTCGATATTATTGTGAGTTTTTGAACGGTAAAGAGGCAAGTAGCGTGGTGAATTTTCTTGTGCTGGAATCTAGTACTAATGACAACCATAGTTCGTACCCCGATGAAGTCTATCAGCCTCACAACATATGGGGATATTTCGTTGTTGAAGCTGAACTTTCCGATTGTTTCAACGGTCAAAGGATATGTTTACTGTCGAGTTGAAGTCGCCAAACACTTTTTGATATTGTAGCGCGAATTTCGCTCATAGTATCTTCCGGGAGCTCATAAACGGTATCCTTGGTCAAATTGTGCTTTTCTTACGCCGTTGCAACTTTTTTTTTTTTAAATTCTTGAAACATTTCATTTTGATGCAGATTGAGGCGATACATTCATCCATCACAGTCAATGTCAGTACTCGGGGACGGAGTCTCTCTACTACCAAAAATCTCTACTACAAAAAAATTTTATTATTTAATCGATATAAATCTTAATGATTAAAAGATTTTAGATTTTTAATTTATAACAAAAACTGACAATACTAAAAATTCATCAAAGTTTGTAGTAAATAAATTGAATTTTGTATATACTTTTCGTACTATTGTAGTATAAGACTAGTACATTGCTTACCGAGAAAAGTTTGCTTTCAGTTCGTTGAGGAACTTTCTGTGAAAAAATCTAGAAAAGAAAAAATCTAAAAAAGAAAAATTCCAGTTTCAAAGTAGTAGTAGTTGATGTGACTACTGGGAGTCTATATAACCGAATGTATATATATATGTATGGAAGTGTACATATATTGGTGCAGTACAAAAGCATACTAAACGTGCACACCAAAATGGGTGAAAATTGTCAACTCACCTATGCAAGATCATAAATGCACGAATTGCTTTGCATGCCAATATCTTCATACATTCACACATATGTATACCTATATGTGTACTAACGAGTATACATATTTAGAAAAGTACTAGCGACATATATGTACATACAACAACGATTGTGCATTCATTGGTTGTATGTAAGCTTTTGTGTGTGCCCAAAATTGTAGAGAAAGACCCAATGGCACCTGCGCTCTCTAAGCCACCCGCCCGCGCTTCTGTTGTCAACGTGCAAAAAGCGAAAGTGCAACCGCATAATTTTTGCCACTTTTTGCATTCAATTCTGTTTGTTTTTTTCTCTATTTTATTTTTTCTTTGTTTGCTGATAAAGGATTCGTGTGCGCAACTAAAGTGAATGTAAAGTAGAATATCGTACGCCATGTGCATATTTACTTTTTAGCCAATAAGGTGTAGGTGAAACTTTGGCCGTTTTCGTGCATCTTCGCATACTCAACTGGAAGCGATAAATTTCAGCAAAAGCGACGTGCAAACGTGAATGTAACAGCGGTAAAAAATGGTGTAAAGCGCGCAATTTGGCAGCCAGTTGGTGGTGGTGGCTTCTAAAAAGCGCTGTCAGCGTGCAGAAGTAGGAGTAAGACTTGGAAGGGGGATTCTTCGGGTAGGTAGTTATTTTAGATAAACTGCCAATGCGACTTACTGTGTGCAAAGCAGTAAGTAGTAAACACGTGCCTGCAGCAAAAAGTTACAAATACAAAAACACAAAAACACCGACGCAACAGCAAGCAGCAATGCACGGCTGGTTCGCCTAAAAAGCGCCTTCATGTTCAGCTGGAAGTTCTCCAACATTTGTTTACATGCAGCGCAGCTACCAAGAAATAGACATCGAAAAATGTTTTTAGTTATATTATATATGTGTGTATGTTATGAATATAGAGTGCATCTTTGCTTACGCATACTTATATACACGGTGCCACCTGCAGAGGTATACAAAGTATATACATACTTATCTATGAGAATGTCTGTATTTTACATCTGCAACTTTGGCGGTTAAAGTTCAGCGCATTTTTGGTAGGAGTTTGTTAGCCAACTTCACTTTCAACTAAAATAGTAATAAATTTACTGATTGCGGTGCATGTAGTGTACTTAAAAGTGAACGAGTCGAGTTAGTCAGTGCATCACAGTTAGTCAGTGGTTGGCATGAAGCAGTAGCGGCGCAAGCAGCAAAAGGTGTATACAAAATAACTAAATCACGCTCTAATAGATCAGTGCACAAAAGGATATGCAAACATAATATAACTTTTCGTTGCTACCAAATCGACGTTCACAGAGATGGACGTACGGTTGTGTACGTGGAAATAAGATAAGTTTTACAAAGAAATTGCCTTATGATCTTCAGTGTAAAATTTCAAGTATTTTATAGTAAATAACTGAATAAATAAAACTATATGAAATAATAGGTTAAGTATTGGTTAGCAGTTACGCCAATACTAATTTTCGCTGTCGCTATCGCTTCATCTTTGATATTTTTTTACTTAGTAAGAACTATGTTTTGCAATTGCTTACAACGGACAACTCTAAAACCCAAAAATTCATAAAATTAATATTGTTGATAATATTCTTTTAAAAATGTACAAAGTGTCAGGAATATTTTCCACAAGTTTCAATTTCAATTTTCGATCGAGTGGAAACTGTAGGAATTTGAGAGTTTTATAACCCGCCGTCTTTGTCATCGCTTAGCCGATGATAAAACTTTAAACGCGCTTTTCCTAAAACCACTTTATCGAAGTCGGTAGTCAAAATTTCTCAACGACACACGTTTGTAGTCCTTGAACGAAGGATTTATTTTATATTTTATTTCCACTCATTTTACATGATAATATGTGGCCTAATTTTATGCAAAAAGTGACGTTTTTTGTAAAAAAACGCTACAAAAATTCGACGTTTAACTTTTTTCGTTCAGGGACAAGGAAAATTCACCTTCATTAAAAAAAAATTAGGATTTTTGATTTCAGATAAAAATTGAAAAAGTTATCATGACTACGGCAAAAGCACCTTCTCGTGGACGGTCTAATTCACGACACTGCCAACGCCTAAAATTACACTATTTTTCTTTCAAATTTTCATCAAATGTTGCCCACATTTATATATAGATAAATAAAATAAATTTTACAATTTATTTACTCTTTTAAAAAAATTCGATAAAATAAGCTTTTTATTGGCCTTCAATACCTATGTAACACCTTAATTTAAATAAGTTTGCCTTCAGATTGCAGTTGAGCTTAAATTTAAAAAGTGTTTATTTTTAACAATGGCAAGAATCCGAATATTTATAAAGAGTAAAAGTTATCGGTCAATGGACTTAAAATTTTACCGGATTGGTTTTATGATTCCGGCAAAGGCTTATGCGAAACAAATTTCAGAAAGTGGACCACGGACTATCCTATAAAGGAAAAATCTCATTTTTGGTTTTAGTTACTTGAAAGTCTCTCTTTTGAACAAAGGACTGAAAGCACGATTTTACAAGAAAATCACTTGGAACTCTTAATCGGTCATTGCAAGTTCTATGTTAGAATAGTTAACCATTTCGGCAAATCATTAATATTGCTTACAACAGCAGCGCAGGAGAAAACAGAAACAGCAAAATGCCAATTGAGCAGACATAAAGTCGGATTACATAACAATCATTTCTGTAACTGAGGGAGGTAAAAAAAAATGATTCACGAAGTATTCCTGTATAACCATATCAATTATAGTGATTATTGGTGACTGAGTAAGCGACTATACCCAATGCCACAAACTAAGGTGTCAGCAGTTCCCTGTTCGGCTAGAGTTTACAGTAACTATCAACAGAGCTCAGGGTCAATCTTTGGAAATATGTGTTTTACATTTAGATACGGAAATGTTGTATATCCACAAGTATGGGAAAAATAAAATTATGATGAAACGATATCAAATCTTTTAGAAGCGGTTCAGAGTAAACCTAGTATATTCTTATAAGACGTATAAGAGACCATATTAATATATACATATATAAATATATAAAATATATTGGCCAAAGGTTATTATATAAGTATCATAACTTCCCATAATAGCAACACGTAAGAGTTCTTTTTGCTAATGGTAATATGTGAATATCTCACGTCAAAAAGAAAAACATTACAATGGGTGAACAAACATGGGTTGATATGCATACGATGCATTGCGTACTGACATTCGGAAGGCTCGGGTTCAAATCGCGGTGCCACCAACATCAAAAGTTATTGAAAATTAAATTATATGAAAATTAAGTTGAATTTTCTAATTGCGATCGCGACTCGGCAGGGAAAGTCAATAGCTCCAAGTATATTTCTGACATGAAATAAAAACTCCTCATAAAAACTATCCGCCGTTCGGAGGCGGCTTTGCATAAAATGTAGGTCCCTCCATTTGTAAGAAAAACATCAAGATGCAAAAACCACTAATTGGAGGAGGAGCTCGACCGAAAAACGCTTCAGCGGTTACAAAGCGCCATTTATATTAGGCCAAGTAAAAAGTTCGCTCGGGTTTTTCTAAGAGATCGCGTTTTTGTTCATAGTACTAGGGTTGCGTGCAGCATCACATCATCCGGAACGGCGCTGAAAACGTGTTTATTTGCGCTAAAATTTTGTCTTTGACAGTTTTTCGTTTGATTGACTCAGTACATTGTGAGCGCTCGTTAAAGATGGACACCAGCAAAGCGATATCGCTATATTTTACAATTTTTCTTCGATAAAGGCGAAAAAGCAGCCAAAGTGGCTGCAAAAATTAAATTAGGTTATGGGCCCGATACTGTAAACGAACGTGTGGTTTGCTAGGTTCCGTTCCGGTAATTTCGATGTCAAAGAGGCGCCAAGTTTTGCTGTCTGTTTGGTGGGATTCGCAAGGAATCATCTACTATGAGATGTTCCCCTATGGCCAAACGCTCAATTCGGCCCTCTACTGCCAACAGCTGGACCGCTTGCAGGCAGCACTAATTCAGAAGAGGGGCTCTGATGGGAGGCTCTAATGCACCTACCTTATAGTCCAGACCTTCCACCAAGTAATTACTATATTTTCCTGTCCATGGCAAACGCGCCTAATGGTGAAAAGTTGGTCTCAAAAGAGGCCTGTGAATATCGGCTATCCGAGTTTTCTGCCAATAGGGACGCAGCTTTCTACGAAGGCGGTATACAAAGGCTTGGCATCTTGTTGGTAACAGGTTTACTTTACAAAATTATCAAAGTTATCATATTTTGAAAAAACAATAAAAAAAAAACGAACGAACTTGACCTCGACTTGACCTAATATATATATCTTCCAGATGTGCGGAAAATAAAAATTCGAGGCTTGAGATAGAAAATTCATTGTGAACCTGCAGTTAAAACTGTCGAAGAAACTGCTTCTGTAATCGACGAACAATATAGACGGTTAACCGACCGAAAAAAAATTGTATTTATGGATCGTTTTATGGAAATTTTTTTTTCTAGTACCAGGAATCGATTTTATAAAAAATTGTATGTCATAATTATGTTAATGTTTCAGAGCGGGAGAACTTTCGTAAGGAGGTGAAGGCTAATTATAATGTATGCAAATCATGAGTGTTCATTTGAAAGTACAATAATGTAGTCGCTCGTTCTCTTTCTCTCAGAAGTAATGCTTTTCGGACGTTTTCGGTTGTTTTCCAAGCACGGCTTAAACGTATTAGTTGAAGTCGATAACGCTTTTAAAAATAGTTTCCAATTACTTATCTTCACAAATTTCGACTTGCCTTTGTCCCTAAAATCACTTTTGATGCTTCGAAACCACTTTCTGCACGCCTTACTGGTCGGCGTAGATTCACCATGAATCTTAACAAGTATTCAATGGCCTTCAGATGCGCTTCTCTTATAGTTAAAATAAGACTTCTTGCATATACCCGTTAATTTTACACTCTTATCTCTGCTTTTAAAGCTTTCCCGCATATCATTCATATGCTACGACCGATCACATTTCAATGCACTTAACTGTTTGACAAAACTGCATTAAACAGCTCTGTTGGTTTCCACACATTTCACAACTGTCAATTGAGTGCCAAAGTTTGGTCAGAAAAGATAAATTTTACATGCGGGCAATTTGAAACTAAATTTTCGTTAGTTTGTGTAGCAAAAGTTACTTATACGCCACGTATTCATGAATTGTGCATAAACAGAATATTTTTGTATATGTATAATGCACACATGTATGTATTATAAACATGGTTATGCATGTATTTATGTATATATTACAGTGAAACACTTATGTGTAGTAAAAAATATTTGCTCAATTTTTCAAATGCATGCACACACTTGAATACATCTTTGAAATACAATTTATATATTGACAAGTAGTTGTATATATATGACTTTTTCACCCGCTTTTACAAATACTCTTTTCTATTGAATTTGTTTACTTTTCTTTTGTAGCTCCACAATTCCAGTGATGCCATTGTTACATTGCGCAATGTCAACCTACAGTCGGCGGGACGTTTCCGTTGTGAAGTTTCCGGTGAAGCGCCATCTTTTCAGACAGTCACCGAACACGGCGATATGGTTGTGGTTTGTAAGTAAACAAATAAAATATCAGCAATATTAAATTTTGAAAGACTTTATGAATAAGTAAGATAATATACAGAATTTAGAGTAAAAGAATTTTTGGAATATTTGCTAAGGCGAAATGTGTGAAAAGTGAAATCATAGATATTTATGTGACATTCAAAATATATTAATAAATATATGGAGGTAACTTTAATTTTAGATTTAAACTTAATACATCTTTTACTAATGAAAGAAGATAATTTTGCTGAAGGTTCGATCATTGTTTACATAGAAGAAGTCAAAATAAATCAAATTTTATCTTAATAAAAAATCTAAAAGAAATCGTAATAGATCGTCAAATCAATTATTTTCCAATTTTCTCTTAGACCCTTGCATATTTTATCTTTAATTTTACAGCATACAAATTCGTAGTTTACTACGTTCAGCTCGTATGATTTCTGTGAAGCAGCTTGGAACATTTTTTTTAACATTTGCGTTTCATAACTCACTACGCGATATTTGGCGAAGTTTCTGTTTGTATATTTTCCATGTCTTTTTTGTCTGCGGTTTTTCCAATTTACCGCGTTATAATTCAATTTTTCCTGTGTTCCTCGGCAATAAGAGGTGGAATTTGTTCTATTTTTTATACACAAAGCTAATGCGAATATAAATTTATATCTTTTTTTTTAAAGAATTTTTTTGATTGTTTATATACCCATATTTTGAATGAATCAGAACATGATAGAGTTATTAAATTCATAATTGCATAGTAGTATAGATTGTATGTCTTTTGCTTAAAATTTTTGATTGAAATTGAGTTGATTCCAATATAATTTTATTACTTAAATTTATTAAAACCAATTGACATATTATTTAAAATTCTAAATATTAATTCTTTACATATTTATTAAAATCAATTACCACTTTTTTTTGTAATATTTGTAATGTTATTCACCTCAATTATTATTATCTACTTTAAGCTCTGCCCGATCAGGGACCACCGAAAATCACCGGTGGCCGCCCACGTTATCAAATCGGCGATTGGGTTCGTATAAACTGTACAGTTGGCCGTTCGAAACCTGCCGTTGAACTCTCTTGGTTTGTGAATGGTGACCCAGCTGAACCCCGTGCTCTACGAAAGTTTCCTTCAGTCATATCTGGGCGCGAAGGTTTGGAGACTTCCATCTTGGGCTTGCAATTCCGTGTTGAGCAGCATCATTTTCGTAATGGTGATATGAAATTAAAGGTTGGTATCGATTTTAAAGTAATTATGTTTTACTAAAAACTTTAAAACTTTCATAAAGTTAGTGCACTAAGCATCTAAAACTTTTGATGAGGAGCGACTGAAAAATTAGAATGCATTAATGAGAGCTGATTTTTTTAATATGCCAAATGTAGGTTTATTTTAGATTTGATAGAAAATGTTGGAGTTACTTTTTACCTTAGACTTCTATTGAAATAAGAGCAAAAAAGCTTAACAATAAAATAAAATTTTAAATATACGTTTATAAGAAGGGAGCTGTGAACGTATTGTACTGCAAAGCAAAAAAATTTTTTTTGAGATCGAAGCAATTATCTAAGCCCATGCTGCAAAAAAAAGATTTTGTTGAACTACCTTTAAGAGCACAATTATTGGTGTCTGATCATACGACAAAATATTATTAATTTTTCAAGAGGAAACTATTGCATTGCATTTTTTTTCCTTTTTTTTTGAATAGTAAAGTTTGAAAATATGGTAATTCATTGGATATATGGGAAAATTTACGAAATCGTTTATCTATTGATAAAGGGAGAAAATAATAAATATAGATTAAGTGATTGGGGGAAAAACATGTAGGGCTAGTCCATACACAAATCGCACTGCTCGATATATTGAACTTTACAAATCTAGTAAAAAGTAGTCCATTACAAAACAAGGAACAGGAGAAGTGTTGGTTACATAATTCAGTAACGTTTGAGCGCATGTCAAGATGGACACCAGTTAAGAGAAAAAACGATATTATTCGAATATTTCTTCGAAAAAGTCGACTATATAAGACGGACAGCTCAAAATATGAATATGGTACTGCTACCATATCGGTAAACCATGCACAATTTTAATTTTGTTGGTTTTTTTCCGGTAATTTGATGTAAAGACTCTCCACGAAATGTCATCACGGACCGAATTGACTCATTTCTGAAAGTGTTGGCGACTGGTCATGAAAAGTGAATCACTTGCAGTTGCGTCAAATGAAAACGGTCGTGGTTTACTATGGGCTGCTCTCCTACATCCAAACTATTAATACAGATCAGTATTGTCAGCAATTGGACCGTCTGATGGAAGCAATCACCCTGATGCGAGCAGTAATTATCCAAAAGATGGGATTTCTGTTCCATCCAGACAAGGCCAGACAACACACAATAATTTGGCTGGTGAAGAAATGGTTTAAAGAAAAGCCTGTGAAAATGGATTATACCATTTTTTTCCAATTAAGGTTAAGGGTTTCTAAGAGGGATACATAATGACATTAACTTTTGAATGACAAAAGGTTATCGAGCTAAACGGTGAGGATAATTGTGACTCTGGGAAATACAGCCATTAATTTAAAGCATCAAAAAGCTGTTTTTCTTACTCAATCTAATATCATATTTTATCTCTGCTTCTTGATATTTTTTATAACAGCGAGGGCGGTGTCGAAGAGATAATGAAAGACAGAAAGATAGATTAATGGTTGGAATGATAAATCAAGCTTCAGTGGTTATGGTTTCAGTCTCACATAGTTATTGACGCTATTGCTTAACGGTTTTGAAAAAATAAACAATGAAGAAGGCAAGGCAACAAGTCTGTACCCTTCTTTCCATTGATCAATCTAGGTTAATTTAGGTTATACTCGCTGGTTGTTTCACCATGCATAGATATGGTGCTCTTTTGTAGTCCTAAACGGTGATTCAGTTTAGTAGTTTGGCTAAGCCTTGATATCCAAATTGACACTTCTTAGTAGTTTAAACCACTAAGTGTCTAATTCGATTTTTTGATAAAACCAGTATGAATTATTTTTCGAACTGACGAGGAGTTCCTAAACTCACTCATAGCACTTCCATATATGCCGCTGCAAGCAATGCCCGTTGTGGTCGTGTGAGATGCCACAAAGTAGAAGACTCCCAATGGCTGTCATTATGGCGTTTCTTGCATGTTCTCTTGCATAGTGTCTCTTGCGCCTTCCGAATAACACTTTTTGCAGTTGCTTCGAGTATTTCGTCTTCCGCAATGCCTTTGTTGCCTGGAGCCGAGTATTTCCATACAGATACGTTAGCTGCTGTCTCGCCGCTTTCAAAGACATGTCCTATACAATACCAAGTGAGATTAATTTCTTAATGTTATGTTGCAATCTCTAAGTAATTTAGAGGATTTCCTTTCCCAAGCTGCAGTTGTGACTAAGGTTCGAACCTACTATTCTCCGACTCAAAAAGGAACTACATATTCTCTTAGCTACTGTGGTCAGATAGTCTCATATTTCACATTCACATAGCCAACATTTTTTTTTACTCAGAGCGTATAATTCAATACGTACTCTATCTCCGATGTTAAAAATATCAGCTATTTTGCAAAAAAAAAAGTTCAATACAAATTACATCATTGTTTCTTACTATAAATTAACTCTTAATGAACGGCGCAGGAAATCATCTTCGTTTTCCATATTCCACTCATTCATATCCGCTTCCCTCATTAATCTTATACAGTTTTCCGTAGAGAAAGGATACATGTACATATGTATATTCGTATATCTGCATGTACACAGATTATTCTTATTTCTTTTAACGAATTTCTTCTTTTTACTTCATTTACAGTGTGTCGCCTCCTTATCCACCTTATATTGGCGCAGTAACGAAGAGTCGGTGGAAGGCGATCGCCCACAAAAAGCGCCTGTTTTAGAATCGCGCGAAACCGTCTACGCCAGCAATTCACGCGCCGATCCAGTGCAAGGTATGTCACTACGGGAAATATTTGTTACCAAAATCTTATCGTTTTTCATTCAACCAAATGCAGCCAGCAAAACGGATTCACATCTAATGGCGCATGCGCCTAGTTTGTTGTTGTTGCTGGTTGTGGCGACAGCCATTGCCAGTGGTTGTGTGGAAGAGTTGTATATGTGGCTGCAGGATAATATTATTGAGCAACAAGAGAAACGACAAGAGGAACAAAGGCGAAAACTGAGTTTTGAAAATGAAAAAGGATATACGAAACGGGAAGGAGGAGAGTTAATGCCAATTCAGCAGCCAGAAAAACGAATTATTTCAAGCAAAATCAATCACGTGATCAGTACAGAGTATGAAGCGGTAATGCCACTGCTCCAATGGCGGCTACACCGGCAACAACAGCGACAACAGAAACAACTAAAATTTCAGCAGCAACAACTACACCAACTGCAACAGCAAAAGCAGCAGGTGCAAATATGTCGGCAACATTGGCATGTTAATGAGCTGAACGAAGGCGTGGTGGAGCGGAAATGCAAAAGAGCGTACGAATTGAAATTTGTTAATTTATGTGCGGAAATGCTGCCAGTGTTGACAGCAATGACAGCATCCTCTGTAGCGACATATGCCACCGTCGCCGACGTTCATTGTGATGCCGTTATTGCGGAATCCGATGTTGTCCCAGCTGTCGCTGCGGCGTTGCCAATTAAACGATTGCTGGCTGTGAGGTAACTGCGCTACACAGAGGTGCAGACGGTGTAAGAAGCGAAAAGAAAGGCTACTCTATCTACACCATTCTCTTGCTGCTGCTGCTGCTGCTGCAGTAAAATAATCGAGGCATGCAATCGAGCGAGCTCTTGGCCATTACAAACAACAACAACAGAAACTGATGAAAATAAATGAACAAAAATTTAAATCTTCAATTTAAATTAAAATCAGTTCAAAGGACAGTTGGCGCATGTAAATTTTGTAAGGCAGGTGTAATCATGGCCGTACATGTGAAAAAAAACTAGTGAAAGTTTAAAAAAAAAAACCAAAAACAGTAAAATAATTTTTTCCACATTAATTGTTTATAACAGAAATCAATAAAAAGCAAAATAAATGAAAATTTTGATGATCAAAACGACCAAAATGAAAACAATTCAAATCAAAACTGCAGGCCTGTATGAACGTATGAGTGCGTGTGTGAATCATTATGCGAGATATTGTCCCTCGGAATGCAGCAAAAATGCTTAAAACTACATAAAACCAGATTTGTAAATACAACAGTAATGCAACTACTGAATTTTTAAGATGTTCAAATTATAAATGCCAGAAAATTAAAAATTAATGGAAGTTAATCTAGGCATACATATGTGCATATAGCATTATATAGCATTAATTCATTTAATATAATATAATGTTAGTTTTAGACTCGGTGTCTAGTCTAAATTAACAGTGAACAATTACATACATTACAATTACTGTTAAATGTAATTAGCTAGCAAAAAAAAAAAAATAGTATATAAAATTGGATCAATTTGGAATTGTTATATTTGCTTTAAAAATGTTAAAGTGCAAATGGGTTCGGAAGCGTTTCAAAAACAAGAATTTTCGAACTGGTCTCTTGCTTTGTGTTGGTTTATTTTCAATTTTGATAATTAAGTAGAGCAATGATTTTCAATAATTTAATTGATTTTGTTTTGTTACTTTTTTTCAATTCACTTTGATTTCAATTACCTGATATTACTTTATCTGATTTTATGTTCCTTTATGCCATAATACAAAAAAGGAAGGTAATTTCACTCAATATAAAAATGAAAGACAAAGTTTTTTTGATATTAAATCTAATTTTCATTTTAACTTCAAGATAGTGTCAATTTAAAAATATTTAATTTATTTTTTTATAAAAAAGTTAACAAAAATAATTTATTTCCATTAGATTTCAGAAAATACAATGCAACCCCATTGAGTTTTTTGTGAGTTTCTTTTATTTTTCTTTATTTCTTTTTAAATTGCAAAGTTTTGCATTTGCAATACATTATTAGGTTTTAGAAAATTTAATTTTTCGAAAATAAAATTGGTAGCACAAATATAAATCCAAAGTCGAAAAATCTTTTTTTGTCAGATGATTAATAGTATTGAACAATTTTTTTATGAAAATCATCTCGTTTTTTTATCATGTATTGTACTGTATTATTTTACAATATTTGTTTTTGTTTATTTATTTTATTTTGTTTTAATTTTTTTGTTTTCATTTTAAATTGTTTTATTTTTATTTTTCAAATAATTCATTTTAATATATTTATTTATATTTTATAATGTTTATTTTATTCTATTTTTTTCAATATTGTTTTATTTTTTTTAGTTTTATTTTAATTCATTTAATTTTTTTATTTTATTATATTTGATATTGTTGTCTATTTTGTTTTTAATTTTTTTATTTTATCTTATTTAATTTTATTCAAATTTATATTAATTTAATGTAATTTGATTTAATTTATTTTTTTTTTAATTTTTTAAATGTAATTATATATTCTATGTATATTTTATTTTATTCTATTTAATTTTATTTTGCTATTTTTTTCTTTTATTAAATGCTTTGAATTATTTTATTTTACTTTAATTTATTTTGCTATATATTATTTTACTTAATTTTATTGTATAATAAAATATTTAATGTATTATGTTATTATTGAATTTTATTTTAGTTATTGATTTTATTTTATTTTACTTCATATTATTTGATTTTGTTTAAATTTTTTTTATTATATTCTATTTCATTTTATCTTTTTTTATTTTTTTTAATTTTTAAAATGTTTTTTTTTTTTTTAATAAGATTTACTTTTTTTAATATAGTTTATTTTTTCATATTTTATTATATCAATAAAGTTTGTATAATTCAATTTAATTTTTTACTTAAATTAAAATTGTTTATTAAAAATTTTAAATTTTTTTTGTTAAAGTTTTTTCAAGGTAAAGCGTTAACATTTCGGTAACAGTTTTTAGAATCTTCAAGTTTTAGGAATGAATTTTTTTATATATATATATATGTATATTAAAAGTGAAATATAAAGCAACAAGCAAATACTTTGTATATGTAAATATGTATATTTCATACAAAATCAATTAAGATTTAGTACGCAAATTGTATTAAAGAAAAGAATCGAAATCAAACTCCGTTACTGTTGACTAATAAAAGAAAGTCTTAAATACAAACATACATATCGAACATTTTATGAATTGCCAAAGTTTTTACTTACATACATATATGACTACGCTGAGATGATGCGATGTTTATTATAATATTAAATGATGTTGAACATACATACATACACATTTTTTGCCGTAACTAGGTATGTAGTAAGTATATAAATATTTTTGGATAAAAAATTTTATTTCCCTCAAATTTACTTAAAGAAATATGTATTTGTAGGAAAAAAAATAAAAATTTCTTCTTAATAACATAAATAATGTGTAAGGTATGCAATGATTTCAATATAATAAACATATAATTTCATAATCAAATACATATGTATATTATAGAAGCTTTCTTTTTACACCGTAAAACATTCCACGAAATTTTGCCAAATCAAACAGTGATATGAAAGAATTCAACACACACACATTTATGCAGCCAAATACAACCTTACAATGTAAATACAAAAGTAAACAATATAGTTGTATGAGAAGGAAAACATCAAAAATCGAAAAAAATAATTAAATAATAAAAATTTATAACTTCTCCACATAGCCAATCAAATGAAAAGTGGTGCTTACTTATACAAGAGGCCCGAGTAAAATTTTGTAAATTTCTTGCTACAACAAAACAAAGAACAGTAATAGTGTGGGATTTTTTTTTTAGCTAGAAAACATATGTAACAAATATGTGAGTATGTAATTAACATATTTTAATTGTACATATATTTTTTGTAAATTTATTATTAAAATACCTAACAATTTTTAAAACACAAACACACAAAAATGTGAATATACCACACATAAATAACAGGTAAAGCTAGAAGAATAGGTTGAGTGTTGTAAATACGCAGTCAAGGCGTCATAATAGAGAAATCCAAAATCTAGCGCACTTAAGAGTTTAAAATAAGAAAAAAAAAACCAAAAAAAAAAAAAATACATGAAAAAATTTAAAAACACTAATAATAAAAAACATAAATGGATATATCGAATTGTGCGCCAATCTAACCAAAAACTATTCATAAGTACTCGTACAGTCCAAATTTTCTATTTATAAGCCAATGTCATGTCAGCAAAAAAAAAAAGAAGAAATCAGAACCCTTCAGATAAATTTGAAACAAGAAAAAAATTAACCAATAAGTCCGAGCTCAATTAAGCGCTAAAAATAAATGTTAAACAAAGGAATGAAATAAAAAACAAAAAAAGAAAAGATATATATGCATACATACATATGAGATGTGTTTTAAAAATAATAAATTCCTATGTATTTGTAACAGTAATATAAATATGTATTGTGTATTTACTTGAAAATTAATTAATGAATTAAATAATGACCATAGTATTTGGTAATGCTAAAAAATGCCATAATGAATTAAACTAAAAAAATAAAAATAAAAATTAAAATAAAATGGAACATTATAAAAACTTAAGCAAATAATTAAACAAATACAAAAACACAAACCATATTAATTAATGTGTATTATATGTAGTTAAGTACGATAATTGAGATATTGTAAATATTTATCATTACAACTATTGTAATTCAATGTATGAGAATGAAAAGATGTGAAAACAAAAATTATTAAGTCAAATATTAATTATAATAATAAATATTTGTTTGACGATAACGTGCAATAGTTTTATTTGCGGAGGTTAAAACAAAAAAATATTAAGATATCTTTAAGTGAGTAAGGGAAATCTTTCTGTAGAAAACACCCACACATTGTATTAGGTCTCCAAAATAAATGTAAGTAAAATTTTTATCTTAAAAGAGGTTTGAAGATTGACAATAAAAGTGTTTGAAACACTTCATCATACAAATATCCGTCAAGTGAAATTTTTCAAACCTCGATCCGTTTGAAGTAATTTCCGATGAATTCGTATGAATTTAGCACATATTTGGCGGTATCTCAGCTATAACTTAATTAATGGTGATTTTTAAGTGTTCAAGAGTTAAAGGTTAATCCGTATAAACAGGGTGTTTTGCGCAGCTCCATAAAAAACAGTCCAACTGTGTCAAATCATACAACCTCCGTGGCCAACTGACAAGAGGTTAGGAGACCTTGAAATGTTTTCACGCAACTGAACCATATTTACTAGTGCTGTGTGGCACACAGCACCATCTTTTTGAAAACACATATTGTCAAATTTGTGTTCTTCAATTGCGGGACAAAAAAAAAATTGGTGATCATGTGAAAAATTTAGTTTGTCATTGAAGAAAGTTTTTTACGAAAAATCAACTTCCATTGCTTGTTGTTCAAACACCCAAACGACGTAAGTAAGGCTTTGTGAATGGGAAGCTGGTTTCAGCTATTGTATGAACTGGACTTTATGTGGATGCAGGGGAAAATCTTATTACAAAATATGGTGCCGCAAGCAAAGGCTTACAATATTTGCAATTGAACCAAATAATCAAAATTCTTCAAATTTTTATAAATTTTTTGAATATTTCGCCGATTATGTGCTCCTTGATCTCCTCATTGCAGTAAGCTTTGACAATTTTAGCGCTGTTTTCATAAATAAATGAACTCAACTGAAATAAAACATACAAACTTAGTTTGAGAGTTAAGTTTGTCGGATGTCAAAATATACTTTTAAAACTAAGAAATAACGAATTATATATGTTTGTCATTTATCGTTTTCTTCTAGACACGGTGTGCTGGACTTAACTAAGGAGAAAAAGATTAATTTATAAACCAAAGAAGTTCAGATGGTTAATTTGTTTGATCTTTGTTCTTGGTTCTGTATCAAAACTTTATTGGTAACGCCTTTCGTCGTCCTCTATTGGCTTTCCTCTCGAACAACTACGTCACTCCAGCCAGT